CTAGCATCTGCCCTGCCATTTTGAACTGGAAGGTGCTGCCTTTGCAGGCAAGTGCATCTGCCTGAACAGGCCTCTCCTTTCACTTTGGCAGAACCTTGCAAAGCCATTCAAAGAGGGGCCCGCAATGTTACACAGCAGCTGGTTAAGCTGGGCAAGTGCTGATGCCCCCACTATTTTTTTTCATGGAGGCTCAGTATTATTAATAATCTATTGATGTATGTACATTAGAAGACAGATGCATTAGAGGAGAACACAAGATAATATTTTAGGAATTTATTGCTAATTACTCCAACAGCAGTACTACATACAGTAGGTTTATTATCTAAAGTTGCAGCTTGCCGGCTTGGCTTGGCTGGCTTGACATCCAAGCCAAGCCAAAAGCCTTTCCAAGCTAGCACTCTTTGGCTCAGTTTGGCCTGGCTTGTGCAGGCTTGGCTTGGTCTGCTTGCTGGCTTGAAGCTGAACCTGTCAAATCACTAATTCTATCATTTTTCCCTTTGACCAGCAGCAATCCGGCACTGCGACCACCTCTGATTTGACCTTTAATTATCCCCTCCCACAGATCCACCACTGACCCTTGCACCAACCTGCATGCCCCTGCTGTCTGGCTCTCATCACCTACCTCTATATTACCAGCTGACAAGATGATTTGGGGGCTGCCACTGTACATTCCAAGAGAGAGAACCACCAACCGTGCTAGTGCAACAGGTTCATTATCTAAGCTGTTGTGCCTAAAAGAACGACACAAAGCCGAGACCTCTGGCATGGCTTGTCCAAGGCTACAGAGCTGGCAGATGCACGGAAATGTGCTGGTACAATGGGCGCAGATCACTTGGTAACACTGGCATGTGCTGCGATGATAATGAAGCGGACATGGGATGCGAAAGCAGCCATGAGAAGTTAAGACCGAGAAGGTGTAGATGCTGTGTTGCCTTTCTGGTGTCGTGCACGGCTAGCTCGAAGGTTTAGTTGAGTATGGACAGGGTGAAAGAGAAAATGCCAAAGGCACAGTAGCATCAGGTCGGCGTTGGACAAGCAGGCAGTTCAAGCGGGGCATGCATCATAGCTGGATAACATCTGAATTGCCATCGTCTATGTCTTCTTCAAGTTCTGGAATTAATTTCCCCTTTTCTTCAAGTAGTCACAGGGGGTCAGGGACAACCATAGTGATCTCCTTAAATAAATCCCGGTCGATCTTTAACTGGAAGAAGAATGGAAGTGAAGAGTTGTTCTCTGTGAATATCGCAGCAAAGTCGCAGTCCAGAGATTTCAGCATGTGCTGTATTCCCTATTGTGCCGCACAGTATTCCAAGCTTGAGAATTACTTCTTTCATTTGCCACAGATCTTCTTCAGACTC